TATATATATGATATATATATTTTAAGTAATAAACGACGATATCTGTAAAAAAGAAAGATCTCTAATACACGCGCGCGCGTATAGAATGACTTATAGTTGAGATTATTATTAATGTTATTTATGTAAAATACTCTTTTAGATTTCTACGGGAACACAAATAATGATCCAAGACAAAAAACAACACAATTGCTCTATAATACTTTATAATGTACGAACACGAATTTCTCTGTATATGTGTTGTATAACATATGTATATTTTATAATATAATAAGTGAAGAGCATTTATATAATAAGTTGATTTAAGCGATTAAATATGAATTATCGCCCATAATTACCAATAATTATAAACAATATTAAAAATCTTTATTTTAGACCACATATGTGAGAAACACAATCAATACTAGAAAAATGCCTATTACGATCGAAGCTGGATTTTTATTGCTTTAAATAATTCATAATCAATATATAATTATTAATAGTTTCAACATTAATAATTTAATATCTTTATAATATGCTTGATGGTAGCATGAAATTATTAAATCGCTTATCAATCCAATCTCGACCAACATCTTTCTAGTATTAATTGACATCTTTCTAGTATATTTATCAATAATTATATAACAGGCGATTATCTTATCATCCCATTAAGACTTATTTTTCTAATATTTTTTACGGTTTATAATTGCAGAAATAACAAGGCAATTTTCTTATTACAAAGCAATATTCAAATTAATTTCGTTAAAGCAAATAGCATTAATTGATTTTATTTTATAAGAATAATTGCTTAAATTGTAGATATTATTCATCATAATTGTTTATTATAATAATTGCACATAAAAAATTGCAACGTTAAAATATCTAAATTAATAAATGAAATAGGCTCAACTAATTAAATTTAAACCGATGAGCAATGCCGATATGAGACATTGCAACACAGAATATAAATTCGAATGTAAATTGAAACGCCATTTATTAAGAAAGTAAATACATGTATATAATTATATATTTCGATCCTCTGTTCAGGTCCTCAGTAATGCAATTAATCACACAATACCAAATTATTCGGAAAAACGCATGAAAGAGAATGCTGTAATACATGGATTAATAGTCAAACTATTAGATGTTCACTTGTCGAATTTTTTTGTCATCAAATTGTTCAAATAGTTGACCATTAATCCATGTATTAGAACATTCTCTTTCATGCGAATAATTTTTCCGAATAATTTGATTTTATTGTGCGATTAATTATACTGATGAGGATCCGAACTAAGAGTCGAAACGTATATATGTATTTAATTTCGTAATATAATAAATGTCATTTTAATTTATTTAAACATCTTTTGTTGATTTATATCGGCATTACTTATCATTTTTTTAGTTAAAATATCTATAGAATAATAAATATTCAAAAAGTTTATCAAATATTCAGACAGAAAATTTTAAAATCCAGCATAAATATTTATAATACTCTGCTATACCGTAAATTAATTATAGCGTAAAAATGATGTAAAAGAATTCAAAGATTATAAAAAACGAATCAAATTTAAAACGTAAAAAATATTTACAGATTAAGCATGTTTTTAAATAATCATAAATACAATATTAATCATATCAATAAATATAATTTACAAAACACATACACACAATATGAGATATTATTCATTTTGAAGTGATATTCATGCACATAACACTAACTAATTTCTGTGACATTTGAATTAATGCAATTAGTAAAAGCGCGATTAGAATATATTTTCAAGCAGAAAATAATTTCCTTGGGAGTCAACGTAAAAAACAGTGCTCGCGTCAAATATATAATGTCAATTACATTGAGATTGTAGAAAAAAATAGCGACCACTCGCCACGTACATGATGCGTTCTAATACGTGTGCGTGATTAATTAAGTAATTTAGCTTGAATACTTAATTTCACGATAAGTAATATAAATTACTTCATTGTGTTACTCTTACAGGTATATAATTATTTACGATGATATTATACTATAATGATATTATACTATAGTGTAAAAAAACTATATAATTTCTGAAAAAAAAATTCTGTTTCCACAATGAGTTATGAATCAGCAATGATATCATTTTTAGCGAATAGCTTGGAATTAAACGGTTCAAAGTTCTCGCATTTAGTTTAATGTTGCTTGCAATTAATGTAATGTTACACGTTATTTGTTTTTGTTGTTTTCAAACCTCAGACAATTCACAGCAAATCGAGTTTGTCTTTCGCATTAGTTAGGACTCCTATAGATAAACGACTTTATGCATCTACAATGGCAGTAGCAGTAATGAGGCTGTAAGAATAACAAAGTGACCAATCACAGTTGAATATAAGAAGAATAATCGATTGTGATTGGTCAATATTTATTCTTATAACCTCCATTACTGATATTGACATTGTAGACCACGCATTAGATTTATTTGCATCGCATGCTCCAACATGCTTCTACTTCTTCCAACCGTAGCTCCTCACTCAAACGCGTTTATTATAGAGATGTAGAGTGAGGAGCTATAGGAACATGTTGGAGCATATTGAAATATGCGACGCGAACAAACCTTTTGTACACATCGATCTGTTCATACAAAGCTATATTCTGTAGCGCTATAGAAAAATGAACATTCGCGACTTTTTTCTGTAACTCCGTATGAACGGATCGGCGTTTTTGATTGTGGCCCTACAAAGTCGCTCTTCTATAAAAACTCTTAGTTTGATACTGAATAGCTACGTTCAGCAAAAAAAAATCGCTCAATAAGTGCTTAGTGAGCAGTTTTCTCTGCTGAACGCAACCACGTAATCGACAATATGTGTCTTCTAATGTTTTTTATTTTAATACTTTGATTTCGCGACGAAACAGAAAAATAATGAATTAAATATTAGATACAGCGCTCTCTAAAACTTTCTTTTTTTAATTTTCATAATCGAAATTTATACACACGCACAACATATAATAGTTCTCCAAGAGATGTTCTAAAATTGTTCACAGAACGTTCTACATTCTAAAGACTAAAGTCTTTGGAGAACTATGTTCCATGGGTATTTATCAGATATCATTTACAAGCACAAATATTGAGATTATGAGTCAAGACGTTATCGTATTAAAAGTCAAGTTCTTTCTATACTGCGTATCCCCACCTAATGGAAGGCGTTTTAACCCTTGATTCATTCATGAGAGATGTGCAAGTGAAAATAAAAAAAGTGTATGATTGAATCATTCAGTAAATATGCTAAGTATGCTAAGAAATCTATACATAATAAGAGAATATGTATAGATGAAATACGCGCAAAAAGGAATAAATTTCCAAACTAGACGATCTATGGATGTGTCAAGTTTAAAGCATATATTTAAGAAGTAATCTTCATGTCTTTATGGTACTTACGTGAAACCAGCAAGTGCATTCAGCAACGTCGACTTTCCAGCTCCGGACGGACCCATAATAGCCACTAATTCGCCGGACTTAAATTCGCCACTTATGCCGTGCAGAATTTCCTTCTCGCCTATAACACGAGATCGCAATATTATATGATTGCATCATTGCACATTGTGCATTCAATGCACAATGATTCATTGTTAACTTGCTTCGGATATGATATTCCTTAATTTTATAGCTCAATTCGTACGAGAGATAAAGAGTGTGCGAGAGGTAAAGTATGACGTGAATACGTATTACGGAATATGTAACATTTAACATTTTTGGATTACGTCGATCACAAAATTTATTCAACAGACTAGGGCTTGTTTTATGTGAAATCATTTTATCAATCATCATCAATCATCATTTTATTCAAGGCTGCTTTTAGAGTCACTGACTTGAATCACGACATCTTAATTATGCGAAAGTAAAAAACATATGAGAACTATATAAAAAATTAAGAAAATATTTTGTAAAAGGAAATAGAATATAAAATATTCCATTGGAGTTAGCCTTGCAATTTTATTTTATCCTACATATCCTATAAATATAGAATGTAATTATAAGATATATATATATATATATA